GAGGATGAGGAGGAGGAGATGTAACATAACTGGTGATAGCCACTTGCCACTTACCTGAATGTAGCGAACTGCTTATCGCGCTGAATAAACTCGAAAATCGGCTCTAAATACGTTTAAAAGGAAGTCATTTTCGTGTTCATCTCCAGTTGATTTATTTTGCGAAATTAAAGAGTTAATTTTCAGCGGATTTTTGACAGCTGAGAGCCACGTCATACTTTCAGGCATGGAGGTACTTCTGATTCCTAATCGTGTCATCAAAGGAGACTGTGCACTCAAATTTCAAAAACCATACTCGTCTTTTACTGGTAACATCTGCAGACCACTGGTTGAAAGATTAGTAAGTTCGTCCTGTTAGCTGAGGCAGTGGAGGATGGTTGCTACCGTGGTAAGTGTCAGGCGATTGCACCATCGGAAAAAGAAAGTGCAGTCGCCAGCACATGACTTACGTGTTCTAACCTGAAAAAGCGGACCGAAGATGAGGGTGTAAGCTGAGTCAACGGCCCACCCTAACGCTCCGCTTAAAAAGACGGTTGCGACATGATGTGCAATCCAGATTTACGGGCACATACTTGCCTAAAACTATGCGTTTGAGAACGATTGGATGCGGGCAGGCGAGAACCCCCAGAGAAAGTGCGATCAGCGAATGTTCAACAAGTAATGCCCAACCGACAGCCAGATCGCGTGTCAATATTTACGAGTCGTGTCAGGCCAAATACAATAACAGCACCGGGGGTTTTCTCAATTAAACCTACGCCCGTAGAGGAAAAAAGTGAAAGGTGGGAGATATTTCGATGTTGGCTAGTTACGTATGTTTTGGCACAAACGACAGACCCTTGTTGTTAAGACTAACAAGACTGAAAAGTATATAGCAAGGGGGAATAACTAAGATATTTGATATAGCAGACAAGTTCCCATAAGCTTTCACGGGACTAAGTAGTCTTCAGCTGAGTAAAGTCTAACGACTCTCATAGGGGGGACGGGAGTTTGCCTAATTGAATCCCGGTCAATACAGTTGCCCGTTCCTCGCAAGTGCCGATTGTCGCTGTTGACTTGGAGATCAGTGGCGAATTTGGGATTGCTTTAATTGTAGTGATTGAGGCTTAGATGGCATCCACTTCAATTTCTCGTTTCACACTTATAGTGTTACACTGGCAGAACAAAGTCAAGACGACTGGAGATGCAGTTGGCGCGGCAGCTGACCATACGAGAAGCTTCCGTCCAGTCCCGTGCCGCAATACTACCAACAATCATTTAGATCTGGCGCATGAACCCTGCCAGTTTGAGGGATGCAGCGTTAGGACACAGTGAGTGTTAACTAAGCCGCAAGCTCTAAACGAGCACAAGACTGCGACGTCTGGGGCATCCGAACAGAGTTAGGTCATTGTGGTAGACGGACACTCACCGATCGCGCTACGGAACTCACTCGTCCGTTGTGCCTTGGGGCTCTCTCCCCAGGCCCGACAGCAGCCGCACAGCGGTGTGTGATACAGAGACGGTGGTTAACGACATTGGATTTCTAACCAACAGCCCGCGGGATCGAGCCCCAGGTGTTTCGCATCTCAGGACTGGCTATGACTGACTGGCGACGGTTAACAAGTCAGAAACGTCATTCCAGTCTCCCTTGTCCTTGTCATTAATACTATTCTGCTTAAGTTGCTGCGTCTGGTTCAGGTCTTCCAATAAGCTAAAGCCCTGTCAACCTTCTTATGCACGCTTAAAAAAGTAGAAAGAGGCCAAGGTGATAACTCCATGGAATATGTAGTAAGAATGGTTCTGCGAATCAGATACGTACTGTCCTGATATTCACTATTGGTTGTAAGGTCAGAACTGCGCCTCAGAATTTGTAAATGATTATGGCCACGCTGACGCGTCGCCGGTCTTAGGATTATCTGCAAAGAGTCCGCAGATGATAGTTTTCGAAGGAAAACATCCTTTTCAAGCTCATTCCGTTACACTCAGTGTTGAATGAGTGTGCTACTTTCTGCGATGCATTCGGAGGCTGTCAATTTTGATAGGCACGCAGTGGCTTTACAACTGCATCTCATAATTACATCAATACCCGTGTGACCAGCTACCCTTATCTGATTTTGTCTCTGATGATGGATTCCAGTGGGAATCCGAAACGTTAGGCTAGTGAAGCTCTTATTCCAGCAACCCTGTCGTCTACTTCGTGTCAGAGGTCAGCTGAAGCATCTGAATTGATTATACTCGCTGCCTTAGTGTCACTGCTGTTGGTCACTTCACGCAGTCACGCGCACTGGCGTTTGCACAAGCTCTGGTTGATACGCCAGCTTAGACGTTTGCTCCGGCGTGCTGTGTAATTTTTCCTCCGCGGCTCGTGGGATCGAAAAGTATATTTAGGATCCACCAGACGGCAAGGTCGGCCGTGCAACAACTAATTGGTGTCCGGCCTTTGGTAGTGTAGTCATTCCGTCGACTTGCAATTTTGACCTCCTGGCGCGTGAAAAAATGTTCAGAAGTCGTGTAGTGTTCCTCCACTAGGAACGACAGGTCCATTCTTCTAACTGCCCTCAAGCGATGACTCATAGGAATCTGGAATTGTTTACTTGTCTCCCTGGCATAGTTTCTTTCGTAGTAACGGCACCAGACCCGATTAATGACTTTCGATATCTGGCCTACGTGCAGGCAATACCTTTGTTTCGTGACGCGACGTAGGCTCGCTGTGCAGATCTGTGGATGTCGGT